TTTATTCTTATATATATACTTAACAATATTATCAAAGATGCTAGTTGCAACAACAAACAAATATAGTTTTTGTCTTAGAATATAAGCAAAGCATATGATTCTGTTAATTTAGAACTTTTTACAAAGTTTCTTAAATTGATTTAATGCTTCAAACTCTTATTAATATACTTACTAATCTTCTTACTGATTACTAAAACTGGGTTATATTTAATCTTGGTCTTATTAATTTTTATTCAATCATAAATAGTATAAATTAAAGAAAAACTATAACTTTATTATTCGAAGAATTTTTTATAATTCTCTAATCTATAAAATTGTCTCACAATTTTAAATTACTCTTTATTTGTATTTTGAAAAACCAATTTACATTTATCTCAAATCCCAAACATTAAAAACATCTGTATCAGTTTTAGTTTATATAAATAATACTTTTTGAATTGTATAGTTTAAAGAAAAGCTTAATCTAATAACAAAAACTGCTACATCCTTCTATTAAATGACTAATATCCAGATTAATCTGACAAAGTCTATTCTAGCTACAAACTTCTCTACTACTTCTATATAGTTTTTCAGATTTCTAATTTATTTTATTTCTAAAAATCAATCTTTTAAGTTTCTTGAATGTTGGTTAACACTTAATAACAAACAATTTTAAGCTATCAAACTAATAAAAGAAGAAGCTTACAATTTTATCAATATCACTAGTACAAAAAAAATCATTAACAAACAAATCACTTATATTATTAATACAGTAATCATTTTAACTTTGAAATATAGATTATATAACACTATTCTTCTTCATACTACATACAACCAAATTTTATTCAAATATCTTATTTTAGCAAAACATAAATTTTATCTTTCTAGATCTATATCAAATAGCACAATGCCCAACCTATATTTATATAATATTTATAATATATAGAACATTCAACTTCAGCATCATATTTCTAATTATCTCTAATGAATCAACAACTCTAACCTTCTTGGCATTACAACTTAAATTAGACTTCAACAACTACAAAATAACTTATAGTTTTTTATTAATATTTTATATCATTTTAAACTAATTATTAATGGCCCTAACAAATATTCATTAAACTTTAAAATTATTTAGCTTTTTATTTATTTTGGCTTAATAATCTTAGCCAATTCTAATATAACATAACCTTATATAATTAGTAATAGAGACCAGTTACTAGAATTAATTTTATCTCAGCATTCTAAATATCTAATCTTCAAAAAGCAACTCAGCTAATTAAACATTATGTATTTTAAACAACTTTGTATAGTTAATAACAGTACCTTATTAGACTAGAAACATTTTTTATCTAAACTTTTATATTTGCCTAAAGGAAGAAACTCCTTTTAGTTTTCTTACTTAAAAGATACAATTTTAGTATATTCTTACTACTGAAATATATTACTAAACTACTAATTATTTGGTCATAACTCTTATGTTTACTATACTATTAATACATCTAAAAAACTCACAAAATTCAAACTTTGGTTACTTTTATATCACAATATTAAGATTATTATTAGAAAAATATAAAAATAATTTTCTTCATCTAATTATTACTCTATCATTTACTAAACTTTTAATATAAATTTAAATTATTTAAAATTCTATTTTCTATCTTTTGCCAAATACAAATAATATATAGAATGCTATCTTAATTTTTACAGAATTAACCAAACTTGTATTATTAAAGTTTCTGCTATTATTTTAATATAATTCTTTGGCAGAACTAATTCCAAACACTGACTTAACCTTAATGCAAATTATTTGGACCTTATTTGCTCTACTGCTATCAAGCATTTAATTCATATTTTTCATCTACCTACTATTTCTATTTTCAATTCAATTGCTTTTAAAATCTTTACTTCAAGTAAAACTACTAACAAACTTATATCTATCTCTTATCTTAATTATTCTTACTAACAACTATCCTTTTATACTAATGACTCAGTAATCAACATTGGTACTAACCAATACACAATAGTTATTAGTTAGATCCAAGTAGATAATAATAATAAAACTATTAATTCTTTTTTTACTAAAATACAATTCTGGTCTTTATTATATAAAGCTAAGCTCTTCTTAATTATTATTGCAATTTTAACAGCTTTATACAATTTAGTAATTAATATTTTTACTAATTTTCAATTAGTAATTTCCAAATTTAATAACTTTTAACTTAACTTAACTTACCCTAATAAGCTATTCAAATTCAACTTATAATCTATTTGGCTTATTATTTCAAATATTATTAAATTATACAAACTACAAATTATCATTCACAAAGTGCAAACTTACTTAGATAATAATCTTAAAAAGCAAGCAAACTTTCTTGCCAAACAACATCTATTATTATTACTTTTTTTTTTTTTTTTTGTATTAAAGTAGCAATCTTGTCTGTCTGTCTTTATTGAGTAATATATTATTATATAATTATATACAAAGTTTATTAATAAAAGTACATCTAGTCACACATATAACTTTAGTTATTATCTAATTAAGGGTTCCATCTAAGAGTTACCCACTAGCTGTCATATCTGAGATCTGTCTATGAATCTCCTATTTAAACTTTCTGGTTTCAATCTTATTGCATATATGCAATACTTATATTACTACATAGACATATCAGATTAGGGCTATCCAATTACTATTTATATCAAGGTACCACTATATTGGATGTTAGCAGGTATCTATAGTTCCTCAAATTTATTCTCGATGCAAACTTACTAAGTAGGGTATCAAGATTACTTCTTAGATTTATTCAATTTAGTAGATTCTGTATTTACTAGAACCAGTTTGATATCAAAAGTGTTCAAATTTCAGTAAGTCTATTCCTTTTTTATAGTTTCTTTTTATGTTTATCATATCACCTGCTAGTGAGCCTTCTTTCTATTTCTGATATGTTTTCTGCTTTTCTTACATTGAGCACCAACTCTTCATATTGAGGAACTTCTTTTTAGAAACTTTTTTATATACCAATCTTCTAATCATATGAACTTAGCTACAGGGCTTCATGTACATTTATATGCTTCTATAGATTACAAAGTTTTTACCTTCAGCTAAAATTAAACTGTTAACCTTGTTTGTAGAAGGAAGAGCACCTAGACCATTAGGCTACAGAACCCTATTCCTATTATTACTACTTTTTTTATTTAATTATACAAATTTTTATAACTCTTATTATATTTTTCAATAAAAATAACATTATGTAAACTTTTTACAAAATACTTTATTAAGCAAATATATAAAGGCCACATATTAGCTATATGGGCATTACAAAAACATAATAACAAGTGGTCATACTTCAATTAGAATATTAATTAGAGATCTACTTGGTTTTATTTTAATCATAATTAAAAATTTTTATATAATATTATTAATTTTAGACTCAACTAACTAAAAATTTTTAAAATAAAAATTCTTAAGAGTGTGGTGACTTAGTGAAGTGGATAAGTTGTCATACCCCCAAGTGGTAGGTTGTAAGTTCAAAACCCACCAACAGTAAAATTTGGATAATCATAATATATAGATGATATTACAGTGACAGCATTCTGTCGATCAGTTGGGATAGGATACTTGTAACTGTAGCCATACTAGCAAGACTGGCAAGTCTGGGGCATCTGTGTAATCTGTTACGCAGAGGAATGCAAACCGGTACTGGGCAGTGCAAATCTAAAATAAGTCTTCGAGCTGTATAAATCCGTAGAACTAGGAAGCTGAAGCCCACTTGGAAATTTCGAGCAGAAAGGTAATACAGATTTTCAATAGTACTACTGTAAAGGCTAAACCTAGAAAATGAATACCAATATAAAGGATTCGGGCAGGCAAGAACCTCAGGTAAAGGGTACCACCAACCAGGCCACTGGATTTCGGACCAGAGGAAAAGGATATTGGGCCAGCCTCAATATACCAAGGACAGGTCACAGTCCTTCTGAGCTATCTGAATTGGAAGTTTGGATTCAAAGCAGAGGTATACTAAAAGTACTAGAGATATGCTATGAAGTCAGTACTGGGGTTTGGGTGAACTCTGTAAGAGTAGCCTGTGTTAGTGTTCTAAAAGTGGGTAGATAGTTAACAACAAGGGGTCCTCTGCACCTTACTGGCAGGTGACGTATTCTTAAATGTGTAATGGCCTGGAAACCAGTACAAAAAGGGTAGGTATCATACTGCTTAGACGGTATATCAGGTAGGTATATACAGGAGGTTAGTTTGGGGATTTCAATATAACAAGGCAGATGATCAGAGAGTTTAAATGGATAATATTCTAGTAGGTTATAGCCATAGCATCTAGTATAGAACCTTAGGGTGGACTATTTAAATAGGCAACCAAAAGTTGCATACATGACTAGCTGTACTCTCATCTCTGTAAAAATAGTTGTAATAGCTAACCCAATATAAAGTTAATAAAGTATCGCTACAAGTATGGTCTTAGAAAAAAACATAAAATAAAATAAAATAAAATAAAAATTCTTCTTAATAAGTTACCAACATATCAATTATTTTATACTATTTATCCAAACCAATATCTAGATACTAACTGTTTTTATTGTAATCTAGCTAACTTCTATTTCTACTAGCATACTTGTACTAATATGCTTTTGCTTAATCAAATTATTCAAACCTCTATCAACCAAATTGTTTTTAGCAAATTATTTGATCTTAATACTTACCAAAAAATAATCTAATTTATAAAATCCTTTATTACTTAGCTTTCAATTTTCTATACATCTTATTTAATATATTTTATCCTAATCTTATTTTTAAAAGACTTATTCTAAAGTTACTTATATTAACAATTCAAAATTCTGATATATTACACACCCCTACAATAAATTACCAGATTTTGGCATAGCAGTAACAATCATTTTTGAAGATAAGTATTTTCAAAAAGCCTTTTGTTTCCCTTTTTGGCCAAGGCACAATTGTTAACCATATTCATAAAAACTGGATTTTTTTCTAGATTCTTTTCATACCAAACATGTGTGGAAACGAATTAACAAACGAGCAAAGAGACCAAATAATCGGTGCTTATCTTGCAGGTTCAAATGCCCCAAAAATATCAGCTGCGCTGAGTATTGCCTGTACAACAGTATATGAAACTATAGATCATTATAAAAAAACTGGTTTTCCATATCCTAAAAAACGATCTGGTCGTTCAAAAGCTCTTTCATCTTGTGATCAACGTTCTTTAAAAGGATTGTTTTAAAAAATAGATTTTTACCTCTTAATAAAGTTACAAATGAATTAAACCTTAATTTTAATACAACTTATCATCCTAATACTATTCGTAACTATCTTCATAATTTTGGTTTAAAGGGTTATATTGCTCATTTTAAGCCTTTTTTGAAGCATAAAGATCGTATTAAACAATTAAAGTAGTGTCAAGCAAAACATAGTTGGAATGAGGAATGGAAACGTATTGTTTGGTCAGATGAATCAAGATTTGCTTTATTTAGATCTGATGGACATACAAAAGTATGACGAAGAGTAGGAGAAGAATATAATATAAACTGTATTAAACCTACTTTTAAATATGATAGTGGATCTGTAATGTTTTAGGGATGTTTTAGTTGGGATGGTGTTGGACCGTTAGTAGTAGTTAATAAAAAGATGAATCAAGATATATATGTTAATGTTCTTGCAAATAATTTAATACCATGGATATGTGACAATCCAAATTTAGTATTTTAGCAAAATTTGGCTCCATGTTACATGGCACAATATACAAAATGGTAGATGGAAACATATAATATTCCAATTTTAGATTGGGTTCTATATAGTCCAGATTTGAACCTAATCGAACATCTATAGGATTATCTTGATTGTCAAGTTCGAAAAAGAATACCCTTGCCTAGTTCAAAAAATGAATTAATTAAGGCCATACAAGAAGAATAGACAAAGATATCTTTAGAGGTCTTACGCAATCTAATTTTAAGCATGCTTGACTGAGTCAAAGCTATCTATAAAGCTAAAGGTTGGCAAGTTAAATATTAATTTTTTTTTGATTTAGTAAAAAATAAAGGCTTTATTTTATATAGTATTAGGCTAAAATGTTCTATTTTTTTTATAAAAATAAAAAAATTAAGGTTAAAAGATCAGTGATCATTCTTATTACATGATCTACATCTGGTAATTTATTGTAGGGGTGTGTATATAAAACTGCTTCCCAAGTTATTATTGATATTTTTCTTAATATTAATGAACAATTATATAAACAATTATGAAAAACATATTGTATTTATTTTTCTAACTGAAAAAAACAACAAAATAGACTTCAATCTTAACCAATCAATAAACCCTTAACATTATCCAACTCAGCAATCAGGTATATATATTTTTGCAAAAACTATACTTATTATGCCTTTGCAAACTTCCAGATTAATTATATATTCACTCTAACACATGCTCTTCTATTGGCCAAGCAATTTATAAAATTAATATTTAGTCTATTTTATAGATTAAATATAGTATATCATCAAATTATATACTAAATATTCAAATTTAAATAAGCTTTAACCACTCTAGTAGATTTAGATTGCAGATAAATTAGTTTGAGCTTTTATTTTTACATGTAATTTTCAATTTATTTGTTTTGTACAAATAGTAATAGCTGTATAGTTAGCAGTTTAATAGTTAGCCCTAATTGCAAATATTAACTTCAGTTATAGCATATATATATATAACTATTTTAAATTATTAATAAAGATATAAGCAAGGTCTTATTTTAATACAAAAAAATATATATATTATATTAAAATTAATAAATATTAATAAACTATAATTAAAATAATTGTTTTATTATTTTAGAGTGTTTTAAGTTATCTAGAACATTTGAATTATAACCCAAATTCTTTAGTCAGAATTTTTGTAATATTAAATAAATATTATTTTAGATAGCTAAACAACTATTAGCTAGAATAAAATCTTATAAGAAATTTACTAATAAAATAAATATTAATTTATTAAATATGTTATTATCCTTTAATTTGTAAGCTTTTTCAAGCAAATTTGTCTAGAAAATTGTTAAAAATATACTTATGATCTATATTTTTTAAATTTTAAAATATTTAAATAAAATTTTATTTGATAA